AATCCTACTATAAATTTAAAACATCCGAGAGAGGTGTGCGAAATATTGATAACTGTATACTACACCCTTTTTTTCTGCATTGACCATTCAACTAAAAAAATGGGCACAAAACAGATTTTTACTGCTCTAGGATCTTTGGATGACTTTCTTCGACATCTGTTTTCCAAAAGGGCGCCTTCATCCGAAATTTTCCCAATACATTAAATCTATTCTAACACACATTTGCCATAATTGGGACACTGTGCAGTTGAAAACCCAACCAAGTTAAATATTTTTCTAGTTTCCCCCTTTCCCAAACAATCCAATTAATATTAAGAGAAATCATTCAGTATGTTTGACTTTTTTGAAGGAGGGTGGAAAGCAGCTTAACCCCTCGAACACTTTATGTCATAGACATATTGCAAAGCATCAAGTGGCATCGGTTGCCATTAGATTCATTAGACATACACGCACACACACAAATTGCCGGCAATTTCAAATCAACTATTGCTGGAAATAAATAAAGATGAAAAAGGCTACAACATCTAAGGCAGCGAATCTTAAAAGAATTGCCATGCGATAAGATGAGTGGATTTTTCTGTTTCTGCTTCTTCATATTAAATTTACAGCTATAGCCAAATAAAGTAAATTTTCAAATATTCGTGTTGGCAAATTAATAAAGTAAAGAAGAAGAAAGAGCAGAGGGAGGTAGAAGAAGGTAAAAAACTACAGTATATCAATGCAGCCGAAATGGAAATTTTTTTGAGAGGAACATCACATGCCATATTGGGCCATTGGAAACCAACAACAGATATGCCTGCTGCCATGGCTCGTTGATAATGTTGAGTGCATTTTGGAAAAAATATTACACACGTATTCATTTTATTGGAAATGGCATCTGCATAAAAAATACATAATATATTATTAGCCACAGACGCAGCAGACACAGACGCAGCCATCGATTATATATACAATGATTCACATGATTTACAATCCAATCATGATGTTGATGGGCTGACTGACCGGCATTGCATGTCCTCCCCTTCTTGTTTTTTGATTTTTTCTTGATTTTATTTAGCCGTAGTGGAGTGATGAATTCAGCAATCAGATAATTAAGGAGAAACTACAAAATTATGAAATAAATGTAGACATACATCAATAAATAAATCTTATTAAGAATATTTTTAAAATACTTTCAATAAAAAATGAATCCATCATCCTATAGAACTATATCAAATATTTTAATTGGATATTTCCCAGAACTGTTTTTAAATAAAAGCCAAACGATGTTCCTACGAAAAATTATTCGTTCTAGGTTAGTGAAAAAATCATTTCTGTTGTTCAATAATTGTTGAAGAAAATGTAAAATTGTATATGGACCCTATTTAAGCCTTTTATATGGACCCTATTTAAGCCTGAATTCTGTTTGATATAGCCCACATATGGAGGATAAAAGTTGGATTCATGCAGGCTTGGGAAGCGAATTTTTATCCGTCATGTGTGGGCTAAAATTACTAAATAGTATTCCTACATTGAAAATCTACGGCACATATAGTTTCTTAAAATTGTAACTTAACTTTAACTTAAAATGTTAATTCTTAATAACTTTATTTTGGCTTAAGGTCAATTGAAAACATCAATGTTTTATTTTGATAATTTTGATTTTTATTTTCCAATATTTCGACTGTCTCGACATCCATCTTCAGGGAAAAATTTTTATTGAGTAAAAAAAAAAAAAACAATTCAAAAATAACCACATAGAAATTAGTTTTAAAGGAAATGCTAGCGTCAGACTGTGCCAAATAATGTAAACAAAACTAAATAATTTCAGTAAATCATTTTAATTTAAATTATGTAAATATTTTAAATTTGGAAAAAGTAATTGAAAAAAGTGAAATGTCATATTCAAAAAGTACAAAAAAAAATTAGAAGACAAAACATCGTATCGATATTTGATACAGGAATTACACTAGAGTCAAATCACCTAAGTTTTGTTGCTACCTTACAACAAGGCCCATGAAGACTATTTTTGGCAACAATTTGACAATAAACTTTGTAGTTTTTACAGTCCCTGGTCGAGAGTGTTTGGATTTTAAGCCCAAGGTGATAAGTGGTATATATTTAATATTATGCAGAGTGCTTTAGTTCCGGCTTCCTGATAAGAGCACAGTAAGAAAGTGAAACCCGTGTAAGAAACATCAAGGAGGAAAAATTATTATTGCACTCTACTGAATTACATGGATTGCATATCACAATTATATTCCTTTTTAACTTATAGAGGTCTAGTCTGATTTTTGGATAAGATGAAATCAAACAGTCGATACTACCACGAGGTCGTTCGACAAATCACTTTTATACTAACAGCTTCCAAAATGCCTGCCTTTAGAAAATCCAACCGGATGTAAGATATTAATGACAATCTGATAATCGATCATTTAATTTTTAAAAATACTGTGTGTAGAGGCACAGTTTCTACGGTTCAAGGGATGTATAAACTCTATATTTAGAAAGTGGTTATAATTTTTTCCTAAGATGTTTGGTATTTTAACTCTTCGCAAAAATATTTAATGTCAATTCACATTATGGAATCTATCCCATATGTACCTCCGATATTTGATAAATTTTCTTCCACAATTTCCAAACAAATTAGCTATAGTTTGACATTTATGTTTCTCATTGGGCATTGGACACACATTATAAGGAAAATTCAACATTTAAGGGATTTTCCGGTAAATTATTTTGGTCATAAAACGAAATTAATGTCATAACGTCTTTGCTGGTTTTTCATATAACTATATTAAATATGTAAAAGACCTCTCACAACATGGTAAACCCGAATTCGAATAAGAATTAATCTGTTCCAGAATGCAAAACTAGAAGATTCTGGTTCTGGAAAAGCGCAATTGTAAATCTTCTAATGATTTTCTTTTTTTAATATCTCTATAGGAAAAAGACCAGTAAATTTTCAAACGTGTATGTCAAGTTGGTTATTAGTATCTGACCATGCTACTAACTCGTGGCAAACTCCTAATGTCAATGTCACACAAGTCAATACTTTGTAATTAGAGTTTTTCAATGTATCTACTTAACTCTGCAGTCATGTTTTTATAGTTTCGGCGTATATCTGGACATAGTGTTTTAGTTTACATCTCACCGGGTTAATTCGGACATAGATAAATCATTTAATGGGGAATATTTGGTAGGGCAGATGAGGAGATGCATCGTAGTGTGCGGGCCTGTATCACACCTTTCAATTTCCTTCTATCAACAGATTAGAAGTACGAACCACGATAGACATATTGACTGATCAATGTTGTATAAGATATCTAATCTTAAAATGGGTTAACAGTGGTCCTGACTGCTGTGGACTATGCAAGGATAAAGAAAAGACAAAAATATTACGTAGTTGGAAGACAGAAACCTAAAAATTGTTCTCAGACATAGACCTCATTATCTCCCCATTTAGCTAAAAGTATCACCAGACTTGGAAAATTATCCCGGTAAAACACCTCTATACAACTTTATTTTTCTTTTGCTTATATTTCTTCCATATACCTATCCTATCTCTAATTCTTCTTGCTAGGATGAACACAATGAACCAAAGGTCTTCAAGAGAAGCAGTGCCGGACACTGCGTAGTTGCACATCTTTTAACTAAAATTTACTAATTACTCACACCTTGTATGTGAGAAATATGGTCAGTATTTAAAAAAGCTCTTATTAAATAAACAAATATCTTTATATACTTCTGTGCGAAGTGGGGTCTCAGTAAGATATATGTGCAGCCAACTAATACGAGAAGTTTGAGTTATCAAGGGAAAATCAGTTCCAAATAAATAAAAGAAGTAGAATAGGTATTTGCTCTACATGTTTAATGGTCTGCCAGTTATTATCTCTAAAGAGGAATACAATTTATTGGTAAAGTGCAATCCTTATCACGAAGGAGTTGCTGTCAAATATATTTTAAAAAAACACAGAGTAAATATTGGAACTCCCAAAAGAAAAAAAAAACGTTAATGATAATTTTCATTTACCTATTCTGAATAGGTATGTATTTGCTCGAGATTTATATCTTTGTTCTCAAAAACGTTGTGTTAAGCACGTATTTATACGGTTTAGCGCACAACGGTGTGTATAATTTGTCAAATAATTTATTTCCCATATTTTGCTTCCAAAAATGTACAAAAACAATTATGGATAATAGAAGATTCACACATTTCTGTCGTACAAAATAACAACGACAAACAGAAGAGTGGAAGATATCACAAAGACCGGGAATCTACAAACTGTTTGTTTAAAGCAAAAAATTTTCAAATTTTTGTTACTTAATAAACGAAGAAAACAACAGCAACAAATCACTGGACAAAACAAAAGGGGGAGAAAGACTCAAATGAGGAGGAAAAAACAACAAAAACAAAATCCAAAAAATGTGTACTACCCACAACCCGCATTATGTCAACCTAACTAATAACTTGAATATAGTGGATGAATAGAAGGCGGGCAGACGGGAGAACGAACTGACGGGCAGTCAGTCAGACAGGCAGTCGTTTGTTGTTTAGTCGCACGTCTCATATTTGTGTGTACTACTGCTATCGTGTTTGGCTCTCTGTCTAGTTGCTACAGCACGGCTAGATTGTGTGCGGTTCCATGTTGTTGCATGAATTTGTTGTTGTTTTTTTGTATCATTTTTCCTTTGCACTTTAGTTTGTTTGTTGTTGTATATTTTTTGTTCTTATTCTAGTTCAGTTACTGCTGCCGCCACTGCATTATATTCTGCCTCCTCCATCAACGTTACTGCCTGCAGTGTTATTTTGGGCGGAGGTTGCCGCCACCATTGTTGCAATCAGACAGGCTCTAATGACAAACAGTGCCGTTAATGGGTATTTCTTAATAAAAATTTGCCAATTATATGCCCACCCTCACACAATGCATTCTCAGAAAGCGGGTGGAGAAGGGAGAGCTGCCTATTAAGTCACCTCCAAAAAATGTCTTAAATTATTCGCAAAATCTCGGTGAAATTACCTTTCCTTTTTTGTATAAAGTGGGTTTTTTGTTGAAAGCGAGTGTATGTGTTGTTCCCCGTCGTCGCCGCCGCAGACGTCGTCGTTGTATATAGTTGGTGTCGTCGCTCGGTCGTTGATTGTTAATCCTCTTTGTTTTTTTTTTCTTTTTTGACTACAATGAATTGCAACTGAATTTCCTTCTTGTAATTTCTCTGCACTTTATCACTTTTTTCACTTAGGAATTTCTGGTATTTTATTAGATTAATAATAAAATTTAATATTTTATTGAAGCGATTTGTTTAAATTTTATTATTCTTTCAATATTAACACTTTTCAGTTTGCACAATTTGATTCACTTTTTCTTCCCCCATTGAAAACAGATTCTATATTCTCCACACTTTTCACTATTTTCTTTCCAAACTGCTTCAACTTAGGTATACTTAGGTCGATTATTGACTAATCGATAACTTTGCGGTCGATATTTTATTTCTCTCATCAAAATCGAATTACCCATATGTCGACCTATATATCTCTAAATAGCATTAATGCAAAGATTAGTAATAATATATTTATGATATACAAAATTTAATATGATTAATATGCAATGTATTTTGAACTACTATAAACCTGTATGCGTAACAATAACCATATTGTTTTAATTTAAGTTTAAAAGTTTGCAAAAAAGTTATATTGGCTGTGTTTAGTTCCTTTTATCAATTGCATGGCGTTCCTGCATTTTAGCCGTGTTTACATTACATAGAGTGTTAACCCGATTTGCAAATTGGGTGGAAAGTTCTTGTCTAAGACACGAAAGCAATGCCGCTTACAATGTTTTGTCAAAATGGCAATGCTACATAAAATACCTTAGACAAAATCCGCTTGGGAAGTAATGAGTACTCTGTTTCGAAAATATGCGAATGTGACAGAAAAGCACCATCCTTAATGCTTTTTTATTTCAAATTTTATTCAAAAAATAAACCACCTGAATTAAAAACGAACCACCTAACTAGACTAATGAATAAATAGATAACGAACGCTTTTGCATGCTGATTAACGACCCACTCGACTTCGAAAACACATTACACCGTGTTTCAAGAATTCCACTCGATTCATTCATTATCATGTAATATACACTTACAGTTGCCCAATAAAGTCTACATAGCCCACAAGTATTTAAAACAAATACCAAAACGGGTCAGACTTATAACCGATATGCAGTAAATTTCGTAATATGTCAAATTTGGTACCCAAAAAAGTGAAACATACAACAAAGTGTAACATGCAACAAATGAGTTGTTTAGTTTCAAGTAAGTGTTTAATAATTCAATAATAATTTTTAGATTAATTCTTTTTTATACCCTCCACCATAGTATATAGGGTATATTAAGTTTGCCATTCCGATTGTAACACCTCGAAATATACATTTTAGACCCCACAAAGTATGTATATTCTTGATCAGCATAAAATTCTATATTCGATTTATCAATGTCCGTCCGCCCGTCTGTGGAAATCACTCTAGCTTCCGAACGAATTGAAGCAGTTTTATACAATTTTACTCAAATGTGATTTATGTCTGCAGGAAATTTGGTATTGAAAATGGGCCATGTAGGTCCACGTCTTCGTATAGCGCCCATATAACGGTACCTCCCGATATGCGGTATTTTGATGATTTTAGCGACATTATTTACCGGAATTTCTTCAAAATTGGTATTTAAAGTTCCTAATAGATACTACGGCTAAAGATAGAAAAGGGCCATGTAGGTCCACGTCTTCGTATAGCCCCCATAAAACGGTACCGCCCGATTTTGGGTATTTTGATGATTTTAGTGACATTATTTACCGGAATTGTTTAATATTTGGTATTTAAAGTTCGTAATAGATACTACTGCATTAGTAGAAAATGGGCCATGTAGGTCCACGTCTTCGTATAGCCCCCATATAACGGTACCCCCCGATATTCGCTATTTTGATGATTTTAGCGACATAATTTACCGGTATTATTTCATATTTTGTATTTGAAGTTCGTAATGAATACTACAGCCTATGACAGAAAATTGTCTGTGCAGGTCCACGTCTTCGTATAGCCTCCATATAACGGTACCCCCGTATTTTGATGATTTTAGCGACATTTTAACCGGAACTATTTCAAATTTTGTATTTGAAGTTCATAATGAATACTACAGCCTATGACAGAAAATTGTCTGTGCAGGTCCACGTTTTATAACCCCCATGATACCTCCCTATATTCGGTATTTTGATGATTTTAGCTACATTATAAACAGATTTTTTCACCTTTCGCATTTGAATATTGTAATAGCTTGTGACAAAAATTAATTATGCAGGTCCACGTCGTCGTATAAACCCTAATATACGGCTACATTCGGCATTTTTAAGATTTTAACAGAAATTTTAACGGATTTTATTTTTTTGAAAATTGTTAAATCTATACCAAATGGTGGAGAGTATTCAAAGTTCGGCCCGGCCGAACTTACAGCTTTTTTACTTGTTTAATGATAGAAAACGTAGAAAATCAAAGCGAAATTTCTCAAGATGTGAGAAAATTAATAAAATGCTTACACAAAGAAAATAAATCGTACGGCAAATATGAGTCGGTCTTCAATTCAAACTGTTGTAAAATATTATAATAAGTGCCAAACAACTGAAAACCATCATCGTTCTGGGAGACCTAGTAAGTTGACTGACCACGATGAACGAGATGTTAATATTGCGCAGCGCAGTTATTATTGCAAAAAACCTCGAAAAATTGAATGAAGTCATCCATTGTGAAATGGAAAACCTCTTCATAAGAAAAGTGAATATGGCAAAACGAATCGACTTCGCAAAACTGCATCAAAATGACGATTTAGATTACTGGATAAACATTATTTTTAGCAATTAGTCTAAATTTAATATATTTGGATACGATGGTAAGAAAAGGGTATCGCGGAAACCAAATACAGACATGGATATGCAGAATTTGTTACCTACAGTGAAACATGGAGGCGGATCTGTAATGGGGTGTGGGTGCATGTCAGCAACAGGAGTGGGTAAATTTGTGTTTATTGAAACCACAATGGATCGACATAGGTGTTTGAATCTATTGAAAGCCAATCTGAAAAGTTCTGAAACTAAATTGGGACTTTATTTTTAATGGATCTTTCAGCAAGACAACGATCCGAAACACTCATCTCAGATCGTAAGAAAGAGGCTGCTGTACAATATCCCCAAGCAATTGCATTTTCCTCCTCAATCATCGGATATTAATCCAATAAAAAATCTGTGGAATTATTTAGACGAGTGTTAGAGTGTTCAAAAAAAAAAAAAAAAAAAAAAAAAAAAAAAAAAAAAAAAACAGAATATTGAACAAAAAGTCCTAAAAAGATCTTTACTTAAGGAGTGGAACAAAATACCGAAAAATATTACACATAATTTAGTTTCCTCTATGTCCAGACAAATACAAGCTGTATTAGCTAAAGGCGGTCCAAGAAAATATTAACTTATTTTAGTTCAGAAAAATAAAAGCTGTATTGAACTGTATGTACAATATATACAATGAAATATACAGTGTATGTATACATAGGAAGGGGATCTTAGCTAGAATGCTTATATCTCAAGAATATTTATATTTTTTATCGCATGAGATTTTTTCAATTTGACTTATAATATTGAAAATAGAAACCAAAGGACCACTACTTTTGTGTAAAAAAATACCAACATTTCCATTATACCGAAACGCTGAAAAATAATTACAGGCGAATTACACAAATGGCGAACTACTGGTCTTTATACCCTACACCACAAGGTGGTCAGGGTAATATGTCTTTGTGCATTTGTTTGTAACAGGCAAAAGGAAACGAGATAGACCCATAGTTCCTTTTGATGATCTGCATAGAATCACTTTCTGAGTTGATTTATGCATGTCAGTCCGTCTGTCCATGTATTCTTGTGAACAAAATGCGGGTCGCATTTATTATTCGATTGAGATGAAATTTTCCAAACAAGGCCCAAGGACGAACCCAATTGAAATTGGAGATAATCGGTAAAAATTTAGATATAGCTCCCATATATATCTTCGTCCGTTTTGCCTTTTATTGTGCACCAAACAGCCCGAATAGTATGGAATTTTGCACATACAACCAAATTATAACCCAAAATAAGTATGCCAAATTTGATCGAAATCGGTTCAGATATAGCTATAGCTCTAATATATATTGTTCATCCGATTTGTTATTTTTGTCCCCCGCAGCCGTAATATGCACTCTGTAACAACAATATTTGGGGAAATATATCAAATGCAGCTCAGAAATACCTTTGCCAAATTTTATCGTGATCGGTTCAGATTTGGATATAGCTCCCATATATAACTTCGTCCGATTTACCTTTTATTGTGCACCATACGTCTAATATTTGCCCAAATGGGAAGGAATTTGGCACATACGACCGAATTGAGTCTAGAAGATAGTATGCCAAATTTGGTGAAGATCGGTTCAGATATAACTATAGCTCCAATATATACTGTTCATCCGATTTGTTATATTTGTTACCCACAGCCGTAATATGCACTCCGTAACAACGATATTCAGGGAAATATATCAAATACAGCTCAGAAATATTTGGCAAATTTTATCGAGATCGGTTCGGATTTGGAAATAGCTCCCATATATACTTTTATCCGATTTCAAATTAATTGTGCACCAAATGGGCAATACAAGTCCGAATTTAAAAGATACAAATGCTTCGGCATATTTTGTCCTTTGAACTTTAAATTATAAACGTTTAATTGTTATACGGAGCTCTACTAAATTCGCAAAGTGGTGTAGGGTATCATAAAGTCGGCCCAGTCCGGCTTTAAGACTTTCTTTACTGGGTTTCAACTGTCGAATATCCTACAATAGTTGTTATTTTCAACATTTTCGAATTGAGTGACTCCAATATTTTCACTCATACCCCTGAAACGACATAGACGACATTCGATGATCCGATCCGATCAGTTTTCGAATATAAACGGTGATAGTATTTCTTTGTCTACATTTTCATTAGTCTGTTATATAGGGGCTATACGAAAACCTAGACCGACATGGCCATTTATGAACTTAACCTGCCTACTGACAAAATACACATTTGTGCAAAATTTTAGCTTGCTATCTCAAGATTGAGTAATTACAATAGACAGACAGACGGACTTCGCTATATATACTTAGAATTGTACGCTAATCAAGAATATAAATTCTTTTTTGGATCTAACATGGGTATTTGGAGGAGTTACAAACGGAATGACAAATTCAATGTATCCTTAATAGTATGGTGGAAGGTATGAGAACAAAGATATATTTTCACTTTAAGTACATAATTTTGAATTTCATTTTCATAAAGAAAAAAAAACTATTATACCTTGATGTGTGTTAAATATTTCTTCTTTCGACAA